ATCTCTTGCTTGTTTTCTGTCGAATTATCCCCTTGTGATAGGTCGACGTGTAGTATGCTACGCTGATCCTCTGTCTCCTGAATCTCCTTCTTACTTTTTTCTAATACTTCCTCATCGGTTACCCAACCTGTGGGAGGAGGCATTATTTTTTCTTCCTCATCAATCATCCAACTTGTGGGAGGAGGCATTATTTTTGGAAGTGATCCATACTTCTCAGAGCGAGGCACTCTCTTCTTTCTTTTGGGTGTTCCGTACAGCACGTAGAAATCGAAAGGACGCCCAGATGGCTCCCCCAATAAGTCTACTTCGCGGACTCCCTCTTGATGTGTTGCTTAAACAGAGTATTGCGTGATACCCCTCTCTTTTTTCTTTCTGCTTCTAGATCAATTTCTTCTTCAATGTCTGTCATCCCATCGTCCTCTTCATCGTTGTAGGCCTCTCCAGAAGTCTGGCCTTCTTCGCATACCAGCATGCAGGCTTCTTCTTCGTTGTCCTCCCTCTCTTCTTCTTTTTCCTTATTTTTGAACTCATTGGCCAGTAGGTAATTATTGGCCATGACAGGAGGCAACGTACCGAATTGGATAGCAAGGGGCTCATCTGGATCTTCTTCTTCCTTTTTATCTCTTTCAAACCTTGATCTCCCATAAGAGGTCTCCGGCAGTTCTTTCATTGATTCATCTGTACCAGTTTCTTTATTACCCTTCAGGACGCTTTGATTGGCTACCTTGAGTAGTAGAGGTGCTTTAGGGTGTGGCATTCCTTGTTGCTGCCTCATCATCTGCCCGTAATTTCGCTGAAAACGCCTTTGTTGAGTCCTGGTCATCTCATTAAAGGGTATTGCTCTTCCTGCAGTGTACTGGAATGAATGCCATACATTTGGCCGGCGAGGTTGCGGCCTAAATGTTCTTCCAACATCTGTTGGTCTGAACTGCCTTTCAAAAGGCGGTCCTCTATAGAATGATGCACCTTGTCCTCTACTAGGCTGAACGTTTGGGAAGAAAACAGGGCGACGAGGATGCTGCCATGTCTCTGGTTTCTCTGTGCTTCCATTTACTTCCCTTTTACACCTTGCACACAGGACGTTTTCGTCCTTTTTTGGTTCTTTTCCTTTGATACGTTCAAAGACACTGGGATGTGGTTTAGGATCTTCTTCTCCGTCATCTATGACTAACTTGAATTTTGGTAACTTGTTCTTGAATCCAGATGTTACCATGTTTACCCCAAGTGGCTGTGGGAAAGGATTCTCGTCCACTGCCATCTTTTTCTTATTGTCGAACGTAATTCGTCCTGACTCAATAGCATCCTGCAATACGTGACGAAAAACCAAGCAATTGTTAGTCAAATGTGACCATGCATTATGCCACTTATAATATTTTTTACCCTTTATTTGTTCAGGGTTTGGCAATTTGTGCTTATCGCTCAGTTTTATTTGCTTATCCCTATATAACTTATCGAATATAAGGTCAGCTTTGGTTACATCGAACGAGAACGTTCTAGCCTTTATGTTTCCATCCTTTATGGGTTCATCTTTGCCCGATGGTCTAGGTTTGACCATTATGGGACAAGTATATGTATCCCCTTTTACTAATTCGGCCAAACACATTTCGGCCTGATCATACGATTCGTCATCAATGGTATGAACGTCAAAATTCGGGTCTCTGTAATAAGTCCCTTTACTAGAATTTTTTATTTGTTATTCTTCTCTTATCAATCGCTCATACCTAATGACATTCGCACTTAACTGGAAAAGGTCGGGAAATTCCTTGTCTTGGAACTTCTTTTTTAAATCAAAACTTAAGCAGCCTTGTGCGATTTTGACAAATTCCTTTTCGGGCAAAGGTACAAAACACTTGCTTCTTGCTGTTTTGAACCTTTGGAGAAAACTTTCTGCCCATTCATTTGGCATTTGACGTAAATTCGCCAAATCAGCCAAGTTGACTTCAGATTCAGTTTTGTAAAACTGAGCATGAAACAACTGTTCCAGTTGTTGCCATGTTTGAACAGAGTTCGCTGACAAGTTAATGAATCAGGAGAAAGCTACTCCTGTTAACGAACTAGGGAAAAGTCTCATTTTGTGGTAATCGGTTACATCACCACTTTGCAACGTGAATTGCCCTATGTGTTCCAGGGTAGACACCTCTCCTAAACCAGTAAACAGTGAGAATTCTGGCACTTTGTACCCTCTAGGCCATGGATATGCTTGGTCAACCCAATCAGGATATGGCTTTGTGTAAGTCGGTCTAATGACAGGACGCACCCCAAAGGCCATCTGATCTCGCACGATTTCCATAATCTGATTTCTCAATATGACATTGGGATCATATGGAATTCCTACAGGCTGATTAACCGGTTGATTTGCATGAGGTCTGATGTTTGGTCCTTGATTGGCAACAAAATTACCATAATTAGGGCCATTACCATTAGCCTGGACATCTACCCCCTCATTACCACGTGGAATATTCTGTCCATTGTTTAGAATATTATCTCTCACGTTTGGATTACCCCCCAAGTTAGGCATACCACTACTACTACCTTGATTTGGTATTGTAACACCTCCTTGATTTGAAGTAGAGGGGCCAGCCAGTGGTTCTACCCCTTGACTTGGATTTGGGACCGAAGGATTATGTCCTACGATCGTCCTAGTTTGAAAGTTACTTGTAAGAGGTATAGCCGGCTGACATATTTGGCCTACTAACTTATTCATTGTTTCATTCAACGTCTTTAGTTGTTTGGCCATATTGTCATAGTGTGCATTACCACTTTGTGTAAATCTTTCCATATTATGAATACTTCGAAGATTTACCTGCTCGACGACGTCTTGCGTGAGTTCTCCAAGCAATGCACGCATGGTTCGAGGACTCAGCTCCGTCATTGGTTCGTAACGACTGTTACTGCTCTGATTTTTTCCATCTGTTCGTGGAGAGGCATGTTGCTCCTCATATCGCTCGATTACAGACTGGATTCCTCCCTGACTTGCTCCTTCCTTGTCGGATCTCTGAGGCATACTGTTTCTCTTTTTGCACTTTCAACACCTAACACCACTGTCCCACTGGGCGTGCCAAATTGTTTCGCGCGGGTTAATTCGCTAACAATTAAGGAGGATCAGACGATTGTGTAAGGGACGAAACCTCTTGAGACAAAGTCCCAAAAAGGGGTGTTTTTTTTATTGGCGATGAACTTTACAATTGGAAACGGAAAACAACGTGCCTCCAAGGGGCGCAAGCACACGAGTTACAGAAAAGGAAATGTTTAAGTCTAAAAGCTAAAGGAATGAAAATTACATATTCTCTGTTCGAGAGTTTTGGATTCGGTCCTTGCTTCTAAGTCCTTTCTCCCTTTTATACTTCATAGGCGATCCCTTTGTGATTAACTGCTCTAAAAAACTGCTTGATCGCCCAATAACTACCCACTTTCTTTGTAATGGCCACTTTGTCATGCAACTGTCTTTTAACTGCTGCCATTATTTTGCATCGTTCAACCGCTTTCGATTGAACCCCTTGAGTCGTGGAACGTGATGAAATTACTTTAGCAACTGCCTCAATAACTGCATCATAATGCGTTATGTTTGTTGATACCTTGGACGACTTGAAAATTTGGGCGAGACTTTGGACGACCGTATGCCACTCTATTCGTTCAGACTCTGAGCGACTTGCAAACTTGGGCGATGGCGTTACCGCACTAATGGGCCCCTTATTTGGGCATTCACCTTGATTCGTTTAATTGGATTTCGTTCTTTGGGCTATCTGATTTGGGGACCCTCCAATTGGACTTTATTCTCTGGGCTGTTCGATTTGGGTTGAATTTTTATGTGTCAACACAAAACTTTTTTTTAGACGGGCAAACTAATTTTCCAATTTTACTAATATAAGGAAATTAAACTCTTAAAAGGAGATAATTTAAAATCCTAATCTTAAATAGAAGAAATCGTATTCTAAGCCCCCGTTTGAGCCCCATTATTTCTCATTACATTAAATTAAAATTTTCACTTTCCTACTTTTAACCACACAATTTTCAATAAAATAATATTACACGTAAATCAAAAAGTTTTTAACCACTCATTTTTCAAAAAAATATTATTCATCTCATTATAATCTACAAATAATGGGATTCAAACGGCCCCTAAATAAGAAAGAAAGAAGAAATTCTATTTTAAATAAAAAAGAATAAAAAGACATAAATAAATTATATTTGAAATAAGATTGTCCAGTATCAAATATTTATATATTCTCGAGTGCTCAATTTGTCCAAAGTTCAGGAACGCCATTGCAATTTACTCTTTCTTAAAAGCTTTGGAGAATCTCAAGCAGAACCAGGGGTTATAAAAGCATCCACGTGTACGGTCAGATATTGCCTTAGCCGTCAACCGACTATTCACGGAACAATATTAGGTTTTTATAGTGCACATCGCAATGCACGTTATTTCATTCAACTACATACAATATTCTCTATCTAAAATTTTCGAACTTTCTGATGGAGATGGAGCGCGTGACGGATTTGACAATGGACTGGAGGCCGAGGAAGAGGCCGCGGTTGGGCTGGGATGTTGGACCCGAGGCCCCTAAGGTATTAAAGATCTGATTTTTTTATTTTTTATTTTTTTTTCTAGGTCTGATGATAAAATAGAATTTAATTCGGTCAGATATGATGAGTTTTGCAAATTCTGCGTTGTAATTGTTAATATATAAATTGAAAAGCAATTCATTAGGTCTGTATATTTTATGTGTATAATTTTACGATGTGTTTTGCCTAATCTATTAGATCTGTAAAGTTGGATAATCATCCTTATGTTAGTTAAATAGCTATATGCCAGATGCAAAAATTGAGGTTTATGCTTACCCGATATAGTTCGAAAATTTTCCCTTCTGATTGTTGATATGTAAAGAGTAATTCAATTGGTTAGATATGTGATTTAAATTTGTTAGACCTGTTAAGTTGTATGGTCATCTCTGTGTCTTATGATAGAACTTTGACAGGTTCACAATTGTGGGATTCATCGTCAAAATTGTATTTTGGTTTCAGCTATTTGTTTATTGGGCAACTTATTTTACCTGGCTATGTAGTTTTAATCATTTCTGATTTTTGCATGTACATCTGTTTATTACTTTATTTATACCAAGATCAGGTCTTTCGAAATAAATTTATGCAAATGGTTGTACATGTAAATGGTTTTTTTGCATGATATTGGCCGCTTTATAGCTTGTTAGAGCATCATGATCATGGCAGAGCTTTTCTTTGGGCTTGTTATCCTTGGTTTTTGAGTCAAGTTCTTTCTCACTATGTTCAAGTGTGCTGTTTTCTTGGTTTTTATATTCAATTCTATGCACATGTGATCTATTTCATGATAACCACGTTTTGGTGTTCTTTACAATGCAATGAACGAAGTGTGTTTGGAAAGGTATGGAAGTTGGTGTCGAGGAGGTAAACTATATTAATGATATTTGATATTTAAAAAACATGAATGGATGCCTGTGTGTAGGCTCAGCTAGGATTCTTTTGTGTACAAGAGATTGGGAATGTGACAAGCTATGCACCTTCAAGCACAGAGTACACTAGTTCTCTGTTTGTTAAGGGCTTGGCTCGAAATGGTTCTCCACCAAGGCGTGAAGATGACAAAGATGGCCATTATATATTTGAGCTTGGAGAAAATTTAACTTCTCGCTGTAACCACCTTTTACCATCATCAAAACAGTTTACTGCTATGGTTTGGATATGTATTCATATAGATTATGTTGATGTATTTCTTTCTCAATTTTATATGCGAGTCTTCCTTCTTAACTGCTATCTCATTTTTACCTTTTAGTGACCCATTAATTTTTAACTTATTTTAGTTTAATACACACATGGAATAAATTGCTTAAAACACTATGGAAAATAAGTTTGGCTTGCTGGTGCAGCAATTGTTTTAATCTGATATGATTAAAGTTTTCGGCTTATAATGAAGTTTTTGAAGGAGATTTTTTTCTTTGTCTGATCGAGAACTTGAAATGACCATGTTTTTGAAAAGTTGGACTGTTAATAGTCTCCTTGTTTAATATATTGTTGTTTGTCAATGTCCATCACTTTCTCTTATGTTGCATTCTGTGGTATATTTGCAGATAAAATAAACAGCAAGATGGGCGAAGGTGAATCACAAAAACTGAAAGAAAATAATCCAGCTTTTATCAGGAGTGTGGCCTCTGTTCTGTTTTTTTTAAGCTGGAATGTTATATGCAGGCACTTTTGGTCAGGTCTTGGAGTGCTGGGATCGGGAAAAAGAAGAAATGGTTGCCATCAAAATTGTTCGTGGAATTAAGAAGTATCGTGATGCAGCTATGATTGAAGTGGAAGTGCTCCAACAACTTGGAAGAAATGATAAAGGTGGCAATCGGTGAGTGCAAATTTTCCTTTTAATTTTGTATTTTATGCCACTTATATGGCTTTTGTGACAATCAGTTGTTGAATTGGTTTATTCTTTGCAGTTGTGTACAAATACGGAACTGGTTTGACTATCGTAACCATATTTGTATTGTAAGTATATGATCAATTATTTTGGTGGATTAATTTCCTCAACTTAATGTTTTAAGGTTAAGATCGTGGATGAATTTAAATGGTGTTAACAGGTCTTTGAGAAGCTTGGACCAAGCTTATATGATTTTCTACGGAAAAACAAATACCGCTCATTTCCCATTGACCTTGTCCGTGAGATTGCCGGACAACTGTTGGAATGTATAGCATGTGTGTAATAGTACTCTTCATTCATAATAAACGTTTTAGATGCAACGTCTTTAATACTACAGAACATCAATGCAGATCCAAATTCCTTAAAAAAAACCTATTTGTAAGTATTAATTTTGGAGGCATTTATAAAGTAATATGGAAATTGGCATCCCTTATTGGTCATAATCTACAGTACCGTATTTTATAATTGCTTTGTACGCCATTAGCATTAATTTTTGCTCCAAATATTTTGCAGTCATGCATGATTTGCACCTCATCCATACAGATTTGAAGCCTGAGAATATACTACTTGTCTCCCCAGAATACATAAAAGTTCCTGATTACAAGGTAAAATCTTTTTTATTATTATTATTCGTGTCCTGCAACAACTTCACGTTTTACACACGTTACATTAGAAGACAGAATTGTGTAATGTTTGAGCTTCTGATGCTTATTTGCTGATGGGCTTGTTATGTTCCTCCGGCCCTACCTTTTAATTTGTTTGTATGCCATATATGCCCACTCCTGACTTGATACATTTTTATTGCTTTTAGGGGTCTTCAAGGTATCCAAAGGATGCCTCTTACTATAAAAGAATCCCCAAATCAAGCGCTATCAAAGTAATTGATTTTGGCAGTACAACTTATGAAAAAAAAGATCAGAGCTATATTGTATCCACCAGACATTACCGTGCACCTGAAGTCATCCTAGGTAAAAATTCATGAACTACGATGTGATGTTTTTCGTTACATATTCCCTAATATTACAGTTTCTAGGTTCAAATTAATTTATTTGATTGTTACCTTCACAGGACTTGGTTGGAGTTACCCATGTGACATATGGAGTGTAGGTTGTATCTTAGTGGAGCTATGCTCGGTGTGCTATCTAATTACCCTCCTATTGGATGTATATTTTGGGATGGGCTGTCGATGTAGTGATTATATCGGACTTTAGCATTTTTAACAGTTTTTGCCTGCCATGGTTCAGGGAGAAGCATTGTTCCAAACGCATGAGAATTTGGAGCACCTTGCAATGATGGAGCAAGTTCTTGGACCACTGCCTCACCATATTTTAAAGAGGGCCGAGTATGTTCTTGTTCGTTCTTCTTACATCTTGTGCAGGGCTTGGATATTGGCTAAGCTCATGATAAGTTAAAGTGCATTTTAAGTAACTTCCGTTTCCAAACATGTTAGAACACATCACCTTCTCACTTTTAAGTTTTAACTGAGAAAGATGTTACTTATTTTGGTCTTACGTCAAAATTAGCAAATTACATCTCATTGGGATTTAGGATTATTTGGTGGTTTACTAAATCTCTATTCTATCTTACAGCCGACAAGCTGAGAAATGCGTTAGAAGAGGTAGGCTCGACTGGCCAGCTGGAGCGACATCGAGAGACAGTATCAGAGCTGTTCTAAAGTTGCCCCGCCTTCAGAACCTAATCATGCAGCATGTAGATCATTCGGCGGGAGATCTTATTCATCTATTACAAGGGCTTCTTAGATATGACCCATCAGATCGGTTGTCAGCTCGTGATGCCCTCGAACATCCTTTTTTCACCAGGGATCATCGTAGAAGATCTTGAAAATTAAGTAGACTTGGGACGTGCCAGGGAAGCTAGTGCAATGCTTGTTAAGGTCAAGCTTTGAGTACGTTTTCCCGTGTTAAACACAAGCACGCGGGAAGTCAGAAGAATCGAGTTGCTGGTTTCTTCTGTACAAAGTCGAAGAAGTCAGATGAATTGCTTTGTTGCCTGGATGATTTCTGTTGTATAGCCATTATACAGAAGTGTATAATGCTTTATTTTTTGTATTAAGCTATTTGTATCTCTCTCTTGATACCTATGAACAGATTGATGACAAGGAATGTAAATAGTCTTTTCTTCTTTTTGTTGTTGCTAGAATATTTTATTTTCTTATGGTTGGTTTGGATGTGTGAGATATGAAAGGTGATATGGGATTGAAGTGTAGATTCGGTAAATCATGTTGTAAATTAGGATGTACGCTAGCAAGTTTGTTATTTTTTTTGGCTGCCTTTTCTAAGTGTCTTTGGTTAATCTGTGCTGGGAATTGTTAATAACTTAGTTGTTCAATTGGTATCAGGATTCAACTTAAGTCTTACTTAGGGGAAAGATTATGAGTTCGAATTCTGAGGGATACGACATAAATCCCTGAGGGGTGAGTGAGTGTAAAACCCTCTCAAAGCGGACAATACGTAGGGCGTAAGGTTCATCCAAAGCGGACAGTACGTAAGTTAACGATTTGGATGCAGAGACTCGGATTGTTACAAAAAAAACGTGCATTTTTTTTTAAACCATAATTGTCTAAGTTTACGTGGACAAATGTCTGTTATCATTTTCCATATGTTTCAAAATCCAAAAAACTTTCTAATTTACAAATTATTTTGGTTAACATCAAATGTGTCGAACCAAATAAAGAACGATTATTTTTAAAGCTTCGAGTTCTAAGAGTTTGGGGCGTCACAACTTGGTGTCGTCGCTTGTTCTCACTAATTTTAAGAGTTTGTAATGATGATACGATGGACCCATTGACAGTTTGACACTTGTCCTCTCTTGTATTGTAATGCAAACTTGAATTCAATAATTAGAATAATTACTGCCTAAAAAATTAAAAATAGTGATAATTTAAAGAGTCATGTTATTTGAAGACTATCATAGTCGTTCCATGTGGCATACGAGTGATAGTTAGTGATTTGATGCATTAATCTCGTAACTTTTTATTGCTTTATGTATGAAATCACTAATTGTCATTTATACGTCACGTAGGACGATTACGATAGTGAGCAACTGTAAATAGCATGATTCTAATTTAAAGGGTAATTAACAGAATATTCCTACTTTTCAATGTTATGGTGCAAAACTTTCATACCTTTCATTTTTTTGGTATTTTCACATTTCATTGCGAATAACATCATCTTCACCAAATTTTAACGTAAAATAACTAATTTACCATCGTATTTAAACAATATTATTCCTAAACTTTTCAAAAATTTACAAATAACCCCATTTGGAGCTACAAGCCTCCATCTCACCAACCACCACGTAGCCGTTGCCTAAAACATCAGAGCTCACACCACAAACAACTGCCATCAACCCCAAACACTTTCCCATAAATAAATTGAACAAACAATAAATTTATATGGTCAAAATCAACAAAAAACTTAGTTTATCGCGCGCGCGATAGTGGTTCCCAACATCGTGGACCACCTATTCCCGCTTCACCATGCACCTTCTTCAATAATGGGCTTTTATCAATTTTATTCGAATATGCCCCTGCATTTTTGGTCAGTTATTGCCCAATAAAAATTTGAAAGTTATTGCTATAGATTTTGATTTTATATATTTGTTGATGTTTTACAACCATGAAGAGAGGAGCCCTAGTGAGTATAGTCAATTGGTGTGTTGGGAATAACATGGAGTCTTGTTGGAATAGGTGGTGTCGTCAGTATTTGCATTTGCGAGTTTGGTATTTTAGCTTGCCATTCCAACCAAAATTGTTGGCATGAAGGTTGGATGTTGGGTGGTATGTGTAGAGGGGAGCAAGAGCTTTTCGATAATATACAGGTTCGACGATTTGGGCGTAGTTGGTCGGAGTTTTTTGACTTCTAAAATGGCGGCCCCATTTAGTGGTGGAAGAGGCAAAGGAATGGGAAGGAGGAGAAGAGAAGAAAGAAAGAGTTTTCTAATTTTAGGAGTAAGATTACAATTTGTTATTTATTTTTCTTTTCTTTTTTGTTTTATTAGGGTACATTGGTCATTTTATGTTGAAAATTGGTGAAAATGACTTTTTTTGTAATGAAAGATGAAAATAGGATGAAAATGCCCAAAAAATGAAAGGTATGGACGTTACACAATAATATGAAAAAGTAAGAATGATTTATGCAAATTACCCATAATTTAAACACTGCATTTCTTGTTAAAATGTCGAGTTTTGACCACTGAGTTTTGAAAAATGTCGAGTTTTGGTAACTTAATTTAGGTCTATGTATTTGATTGACCATTGAAATTTAAAATGTAGAGTTTTAACCACTGAATTTTGAAAAATGTCGAGTTTTGGTTACTGAACTTAGATCCATATCTTCGATTGCTCACTGAAATTTAAAATGTGGAGTTTTGGCCACTGAACTTTAGAATATGTTGTACGTTACTCACTAGAATAACTGTTGAATTTTGAAAAATATCGAGTTTAAGGTTAGTAATGTACAATATTTTTCAAAATTCAGTGCGTGATGTAAAATATTTTTCAAAGTTCAGTGCGTGATGTAAAATATTTTTCAAAGTTCAGTGAGTAATGTACAATTTTTTTTCAAAATTCAGTGACCAAAACTTCACATTTTAAATTTCAGTGAGCAATCGAAAACATGGATCTAAATTCAGTGACTAAAACTCGACACTTTAAACTTCAGTGGCCAGACATAAGTTCAGTGACCAGAATTCGACATTTTAAATTTCAGTGGCCAGTAAAAAATATGGACCTAAGTTCAGTGACCATTGGAACAATTAACTCGAAAAAAGTAGATCTAGATCTCGAGATCTTTTGTAATCAATTTCTAGAACAATGCTTGGTGTACAATAATTTTGACAAACATGTTGCTATTTAACAGTTTAAAAAATAATTCATCATTTCAATTAATACTTTTTTGCCACAACCAACATTGTCAACAGTGTTGTACAAAAATATTGTATAAATAGCATAGTTCCAAGGATCTTGTCACATGTATATCAAAATTTACATATAGGATTACATACTATTCACATAGTACTCTACCATTTGTCAACTTAAAACATAGTCAACTTTTTTTATTAAATCTTTTTTCTCCACATCATTATTAGTAACCGCTATGTACTATTTTTATGTACAAGTAGTAAAATCCTAATTCCATGTCAGCCACTAAAATTAATACTTTTATATTAGTTAAAATAACTGATACAGGGTCACGAAGTGATAAATTAAAAGTAAAATACAAATTTAGGGTCTAGTTTGAGGCACATTATTGGACAAAAAATGAAAATTCTGACCGTTAACATCACATTTAACGGATTTTGTTGACATCTCATTTCTTGTGTAGGGCTCAGCTATGTCTGTGTGCGGCTAGAATTCTCATTTTAATGAAACAAATAATGTGCTCCAAACGGGGATTCAATAACTAATCTTAATTGTTTAAAATTCAAAAATTATATAAAATATTTCGAAAAAATAATAACAACCATCGTTGTATTTTAAATTTTTGTTAAACATTTTAAAACTATTTACATGTTTCTAATTTTATTTCCATTTACTTATTGGTAAAACTTTTGAAAGCTTAGCTTGGGGCGTCAATTTGGCTCCTCGACTCTGACGGCCAATGATTTGACTCGAAAAAAGTTCGAGCTGGCTCGATTTTATCGAGTCCCATTTTGGAGCATTGTCCCAAGCTCGAGCCAATCTATGTGGCTCATGGGCCCATGTCATA